ACACTATTTTCTTCTGAGGATACAGTCAAAAAGCCAATCACAGACCTCTTAGATTTATCTCTTGGTAAGAGGGGTTTTCTGTGTTCTGTGGGAGTGTAGGGGTGGGAGGAAGGTTAGGTCCATACTCCAGAGAACTAGGGTAAGCTCTGCTTTAATAAACATAAGAACACATGTTAGTAAAATAAGAACATTGGAGAGTATGTTTATAAATGTTTATGTCTAAAGATAATTTCTCTCAAGTTTTTTTTTTTTTTTTTTTTGAGTCACAGTCTCTGTCGCTCATTCTGAAGTGTAGTGGCACGCTCCTGGTCACCACAGCCTCTACCTGCTGGGCTCAGGTGATCCTTCCACCTCAGCCTTCCAAGTAGCTGGACTCACAGGCATGTGCCACAATGCTGGGCTAATTTTTTTAAATTTATTGTAGAGACGAGGTTTTGCCATGTTGCTCAGGCTGATCTCCAACTCCTGAGCTCAGGTAATTCTCTCGTCTCCACCTCCCAAAGTGCTGGGATTACAGAAATGAGTCACCACATCCAGCACAAGTTTTCTTAATATAGTTGAATCCTAGAGAGTAAGGATCTATTTTTCATTATAATCATTTCATATAAAACCTGTGTATGTTTTTATATATTAAATTTGATTGCCCCTCTTCTCCTATTTTAATTAGCTTTTAGTTGCATTTGATTTTTGAAGAAGTTAACACAAAATCTCTCAAAATTTATTTATTTATATAAAGTCAGGGTCTCACTCTGTCATCCAGGCTGGATGCAGTGGCACGATCACCGTTCACTGCAGCCTCAGCCTCTTGGGCCCAGGCAATCCTTCCACCTCAGCCTTCCGAGTAGCTGGAAGTACAGGTGTGTGCCACCATGCCCAGACGACTTTTTACAAATTTTTTGTAGATACAAGGTCTTACTATGTTGCTCAGGCTGGCCTCGAACTCCTGGCCTCAAGCAATCCTCCCACCTTGGCCTCCCAAAGTACTGGGATTACAGCCGTGAGACACTGCCCCCTAACAAAATTTAGATATTTGATAGGAAGACATGGCAGTAACATAAGGTAAAACAGCTTTATCTTCTTTTCCATTGTCCTAATCCACCATTTTCCCTAGCCAGAAGTTATCTTCTTCTCTTTATACATTTGATACATTTTCTTTGCATAATCAAATATTTCACTTAGAAATGTTATTTATTCAATCAGTGAATCTTTACTGTGCACCCAGGATCTGTCAGGGTGTTAAATCTTGTGCCCTGGGGGACCATTCCTGCATTAGTAAACATTCCCTAATGCAACTTATATTTCCCCTCCCTTGATCCAGCATCTTCAGGACTCAGTCTCACATGGACACACTGGGCACACTGGGCTCCCACTGGTTCATGATGACTAATCCTGCAGCTTCTTTGGGGACATTCTCCTTCCTCCCTTATCAGGCTAGCACTTTCCCAGCAGGTTGAGCTATAATTTGACCCTAGATGGCCAGGAGGATACTCGGAGTGTTTTTCTTGCAAAGCAAAGGTGGAAAATTAGCCTTTAACAGGGAGGAGTGGGCTATTGCTGTATGCCCAGAAGGTTCCTGTGGGTCTGGGGTTCCCGGGTCTCAAGTGTGACTCTACCCAGACATCCCCATCCCAAGTGTCAGAGGCTCCTTCTTCCTGAGTTAGAGGACTAGCCAGGATGGAAAATTCAAACCTCCCTGGAGTTCTGATCGTTAAGAACAGGACACGACTCAGCTTTCTCTGCCCTTTGGTTGTAGAAAATTAAAGTTTATATATGCTGCTAAGGAGGGTCTCTGGCTCTGCTATTTTTGCCCAATTGGTGATTACACCTTTATTGCCTTCCTCAAATGCACCCACAGCATCATACAACAGCCACTCGATTCCATGGTATTTATAATCTCTACTCCCCTCTCCCACCTCACTCAAATGCCCCAGCCGGAACATTCCTTTCCACTCCAGTTCACCACCAGTGTAAATTCTAACAAGTACATTCCTATAGCATGCCAGGAGCTATCAGAACACCACCTTTCCACTGGTGACAGGGTCCTCAGTGCCAGCAGACTGGAGGGTGACCCAGCTCTAAAATCCCACCATAGAATCTATCTTCCTGCACTTCATGAGCAATGGTTGTACGTAGGTCAAGTTCCCCAGGAAACAGCATTTGAGGCTGAGATTTGCATGCAGAAGGTTTACTGGGAGTGGACTTGGGGACAACCATTGCAAGGGAGGAAGGGAGGGAAGTAGGATCAACTGGAGGCAGAGATTGGACCATGATGCAGTTGTGACCAGAGCCTCTCTCTACCCCAAGAACAGCTAGAGCAGAGGGCCCTTCGGAATCTTCCCAAATTGACACAAGGGAGTTGGGTCCATTGACCAGCTTCAAATGTGAGTTCCGCCAGGGAAAGGGAGGCTAGGACAAATCTGCTTGCCTCACTCAGCTAAGAGTAATTGTGGGGGCAGGGACTCAGCTGTGAGGCTCTGGCATGAACTATCCCGACAGCTGGGGGAGACTTCTCTACCTCTTTCAGAGGCTGGATACGCTGTCCTGGGCTTGTGTCTTCTTTGTTTACTCTTTGCTTTGTCGACATTTACACCCCACATGTAGAATACATACATGGAGAGTGGTTTTTCTGAGTCCTTTACATATCTGAAAATATATTTATTCACTCTCAAGTTTGATTCCATTTTGACTAGGTGTAGGATTCTATGTAGAATATCATTTAATGGAAAATGTTAAAGCCATTTCTCTGTGGTCTTTCAGAATTCAATGTTGCTGTTGAGAATGGGATACCACTTTGATTCTCCTTGTTTATGTCAACTTTTTCCCACCTCTGGAAGCTTTCGGGATCTTTTCTCATTCATGGTACTGGGCATGCTGTGGACCCCTTATAGTCCTGGAAACTATTTTGGTATTATTGATTTGATCATTTTCTTCACTCCATTTTTATCTCGCTGCTTTTTGGAACTCATTACTAGTTGAACCTTATACATGCCTCCTAGAATAAAACACCAGAGCTCAGTTTTTTTTTTTAGTTGGAGTCTCACTCTGTTGCCCAGGCTAGAGCACAGTGGCACAATCACCACTCACAAATGCTGTTTCCTGGGGAACTTGACCTACATACGACCATTGCTCCTGGACTCAGGCGATCATTTTGCCTCAGCCTCCCGAGTAGCTGAGACTACAGACACATGCCACCATGGCCAGATTTTAATTTTTTTGTAGAGACAAGGTCTCACTATGTTGCTCAGGCTGATCTTGAACTCCTGTCCTCAAGTGATCCTCCTACCTCAGCCTCCTCCCAAAGTGCTGAGATTACAGGTGTGAACCACTGTGCCTGGCTGGTTTTTTAATTTTAACAATTGTGTTTAAATTTTAACTACCCCTTTTCTGTGCTGTTCTCAAGTGGCAGCATGAGAGGCCTGCATGGAACAGCTGGCTGCTCTGTTGGGAGCTCTCACATGTCAGTGTGTGGAGGCCTTTCCTCTGAACCCTACCTCCTGTTCCTAGAATAATTCTCCTATCTTTCATCTCAGGTATAGCAACCTGGCTTCTAGGATCCTATGTGGAAGGAGGGAAAGAGGACAAAGCAACCCAAACACTCCACATCCAGATGCTTTAAGCAATGCTCTTGGCTTCAGCCTCAAGCTTCGAAATCTCTGTAGAGGTTTAACCTCTGCAGTCCCAATTCTCTAAGGAAGAAACTGCCAGGCTCCCACCTGGAGGGACAAGTGAAGCATGCTGACTATTCTGAATCCTAACACATGGCTTTCCCCAAACCCCAAGTCATGTGGCCCCTGACTTGCCTAGGGCCTCCAAGACCTGAGCTGCTCTAGGATCAGCTTGACCTACTTCCACTTCAAAGTCTTTTCACTGCACACTCTGAGCTGTGACATCCTCTGCCTTTCCCAACTGTTATCACACATCCAATAACTTTCCTCCAAACACGTGTTACAGTCCTGCATACACTGAGGTTCCCTCGCCCACTCTCTTTTCCCAAGAAAAAAAAAGTTTTTTCTCAGTTGGTGTCTCACTCTGTCACCCAAGCTGGAGTGCAGTGGCACGCTCACGGCCACTGCAGCCTTGACCTGCTGGGCTCAGGTGATCCTTCAGCCTCAACCTTCCAAGTAGCTGGAACTACAGGCACAAACCACCATGCCCGGCTAATTTTTTTTTATTAATTGGAGATGAGGGCTCATCAAGTTGCCCAGGCTGGTCTCGAACCTGTGGGCTCAGGCAATCCTCTCACTTCAGCCTCCCAAAGTCCTGGGAGTGTAGGCATAAGCCACCGTGACCAGCCTCCCAAGAAAATTTTTAGCTTTATTTTTTTTTGTAGTTGAGTCCAGAGGGAGAGGAGGCAGACACATGTATTCAATGTGTCTTTTTTTTTTTTTTTAGTCAGAGCCTCACTCTGTTGTCCAGGCTGGAGTGTAGTGGCATAGTCACGGCTACCTCAGCCTCAATCTCCTGGGCTCAGGCAATCCTTCCAACTCAGTCTCCTGAGTAGCTGGGACTACATGCGTGCACCACCAGGCCTGGATAATTTTTTGATTTGTTGTAGAGACATTAGGATCGCCTGAGCCCAACAGGTTGAGGCTGCGGTGGCCATGAGCGTGCCACTGCACTCCAGTCTGGGCAACAGAGTGAGGCTCCGACTCAAAAAAAAAAAAAGAAAGAAAAAATGAGTCAAGCATAGTAGCACATGCCCCAGTTACTCAGGGGATTGAAATAGGACTGTCTGAGTGCTGGAGGTTGAGGCTGTGGTGAGCTGTGATGGTGCCAGCCTGAACATCAGAGTGAAAACCTTACTCACAAAAAAAAAAGAAAGAAAGAAAGGATACACTTTATGATAAGACTGATATAAATGTGATTGTTTTAAAAACACTAAAAATTGAATACAAGCCAAGTAGATGATCTACAAACTATTGCAATATCTAATCCTGCTTCTCTTAAATCCTTCTGACTTAGGAAGTTGAAAAACGGACCCTTGAAATGCTAGGTTTACAATGAGAAATGCCACAATTCAATGTTTTTTCTATGGATTCATGATCTTTGGGTTCTGCACAGCTTCGTTGTATGTATATTTGTACTATAGTCATGAGAACAGCCAGGAGAAGAAAAGCCATGAGCCTACCTCAGTTCGGTCCCCTGAAAAAAATGTGCATCAGCAAAGTATCCATGACTCAGAGCAAATGCCAACACCACATGCAGTTGTAGAAGGGTTAGACGAAGATGAAAATGAACCTAAAAGACTGCAACAATTTATAAATCGGTGTAAGTATTTTAATTTTTTCCTGTTAGTAATTTTAAGGGGAAAATATACAACAATATTTAACATTTGGAAGAGTGAGGGAATGCTCCTTCTAGAGCAATTTAATGTTTAAATTATGGAGTTTTTCATATGTGTGCATATTATTTAAACACAGAAAATAATAAAACAGCCATGCCTGTATTCACCGCTTAGACCTAAAATTTTTTGTTTTTTTGAGTTGGAGCCTCACTCTGTCACCCAGGCTGGAGTGCAGTGATATGCTCACAGCCACTGCAGCCTCAACTTGCTGGGCTCAGGCGATCCTTCCACCTCAGTCTTCCAAGTAGCTGGGAATACAGGCATGCACCACCACGCCCAGCTAAATTTTCTTGATTTATTGTAGAGATGAGTGCTCACCAAGTTTCCTAGGTTGGTCTCGAGCCCCTGGGCTCAGGCAATCCTCTTACCTCGGCCTCCCAAAATGCTCGAATTATAGGCGTGAACCACTGCACCCAGCCATCTTGTTTTATTCTCGACAGTGGAATTTTGGGCGCAGGATTTCAGCTCTCAACCTCACACTTTCCCTGAATTGTTCTGTTACTATAATTTCACACACTGTAGTTGTGAATCATGATGGAACCAAGGAGGTTGAGCAACTACTCTCCATGGAAGACTGAATGACTGAAGAATAGCTAGTTATTCACATTCTACTTTGCTAAAGAACCTGCTTTGATTTGTGTGAATACTTTGTGCTCTCACCTCTAGTCTTGTCATCCGGGGGTAGTTTAGATTCCAAGAAAATATCTCTGTCTCATTATAAAAGGTGTGTAGCCAGGCATGGTAGTGCACACCTGTACTTCCAGCTACTTGGGAGACTGAGGCAGAAGGATCACTTGAGCCCAGGAGGTCGAGGCTACGGTGGCCGTGAGCCTGCCAGTGCACTCCAACCTGGGTGACAGAGTGAGAGTCCAACCCTAAATAAATAAATAAATAAACAAATAAATAGATAGATAGACAAATAAATAAACAAATGGTGTGAATTCAGAATAGAGTTGTTATTTTTCTGCATCTGTGTGATCGTAAACCTTTACTTATGTGACTGTAATTACATTTTGTTGCAGATAAGAATGTCAACCATTCAGACCCAGAGTTTCTTAGTGGATTTTCAAAATATGGATTTAATATCATTGTCAGTAGACACTTGGACAACCAGAGAGAGGTGCCAGATACCAGGAATAAAATGTATGTTCCTTCTAAATATTTTTTCATCAGTTACTAACCTGATTTAAATTTTAGCATATTAAATGTCTTATATAATATAGATTCTTATTTTTAGGACTTGAAGTCAGATAATGTCAAGATTCTATTTCAAGACTCTAATGACTGTAGTGTAGAGCATATCTTCCCCACTGGCACAGAATGTGTTCTAGAGGTTTCCAAGAGTTGATTTACCACAGATCACCAACAAGAGTTTCTGGCCAAAGGAGATTCAGTCCTGAAAGGAAATGCTTTGGACAGCTACTTATTAATTTCTTCAAAGTATGCTTTTGAAAAAAATTGTTCCTTTGATTATTTATGTTAATGCCTTTTTAAAAATTGTGACATTAGCCAGTCATGGTGACTCACACCTGTAGTCCCATTACTTTGGCCAAGACAGGAGGATTGCTTGAGCCCAGGATTTGAGGCTGTAATGAGGTATGAGCATGCCACTTCACTCCAGCTTGAGCAACAGAGTGAGGCCCTGTCTAAAAAATAAATTGTGGCAAAATAAACATAACATCAAATTTACCATTTTACCCTTTTTTTTCCTTCTGAGTCAGAGTCTCACTTTGTCACCCAGGCTGGAGTCATGGCATGCTCACGGCCACCACAGCCTCAATCTGCTGGGCTCAGGCGATTCTTCTACCTCAATCTTCCAAGTAGCTGGGACTACAGGCATGCATCACCACACCTGGCTAATTTTTTAATGTATTGTAGAGATGAGGTCTCACCAAGTTGCCCAGGCTGGTCTTGAACCTGTGGATTCAAACAGTCCTCTCACATTCGCTTCCCAAAGTGCTGGGATTATAGGTATGAACCACTGCACCCGCCATATTTTAACCATTTTTAAAAGTACATTTGGTGACATTTAGGACATTCACATTGTACAACCAGCTTTTTCATCCTCCCAAACTGAAACTCTGTACCCATTATACAACTCCTCATTTTCCACTCCTGCCAGTCCCTGGTCACCACCATTCTACTTTGCCTCTCTATGAATCTGATGACTCTAGGTACCTCATACAGTATTTGTCTTTTCTGTGACTGGCCTCTCTCACTTAGCATAATGTGCTCAAGGTTCATCCATGTTGAAACATGTATGTGTTAATACCAGGTTAATTTCCTTTAAGTTCTGATAATTTCCAGGCAAAAAGGGCAGATATTCTCCTAAACTAAGTGAGAAGTACTTAAGGAATATCCAGGAAACAGGAGAAAACGTGGCTCCTTTGCCTTGTGGCAACTTGTGTGCAACATAAACATTTGAAGTCACAAATATCACTTATGAGGTCACACTAAGAGATGTCATGTTTGTACATAACAACACGATGTATCTGGGTCATAATAAAAGAAAAATAATTTCAGTTTGCTCAACATGGTATGAATTTAATCTAGAGGACAATGGAGCATTTAACTACCACAAAAGAAAGGTCAATATTTTTATATACCTTTAGGTTATGAATTTCCCTCTATGCCATCATTTTTTCTCCCTAAATCGCCTCTTCTAAAATAGTGTGACTTGGCCGGGTGCGGTGGCTCAAGCCTGTAATCCCAGCACTTTGGGAGGCCAAGGCAAGAAGATTGCATGAGCCCAGGGATTCGAGTCTAGCCTGGGCAACTTTGTGAGCCCTTATCTCTACAATAAATCAAAAAATTAGCTGAGCATGGTGTGCACGCCTGTGATTCCAGCTTCTTGAAATGCTAAGGTAAAAGGATTGCCTGAACCCAGCTGGTAGAGGCTGCGGTAACCATGAGCGTACCACTGCACTCTAGCCTGGCGACAGGAGTGTGACTCTAACTCAAAAAAAAATTGGATTTAAACAAATAAATATCTATTTACAAATTAGTTTAGCACTATACATCACTGTTTTCCTGTTTTTTGGGGTTTGTTTTTTTGAGTCGGGGGTCTCACTCTGTCACCCAGGATGATCTGCAGTGGCATGCTCACTTCCTCCTCAGTCTTCCAAGTAGCTGGAACTATACGTGCCCGCTACCACACCCACCTTGCTTATCTGTCTATTTATCTATCTATCTATCTATCTATCTATCTATCTATCTATCTATCTATCTATCTATCTATCTATCTATTTTTGAAAAGGAATCTTGCCAAGTTGCCCGATCTAGTCTTGAACTCATGGGCTCAGGCAATCCTCTCCCCTCTGCCAGTACTGGGATTGCAGGCATGAGCCACCATGCCCAGCATACATTACTGTTTTTCTAAAGTGCTTAAAAGATTGTAATTAGCAAATAGTGACCCATTCACACTTCCCACTCAAAGTGTGGCCTAAAGACCAGCAGCACTGGCAGACCCCGGGAGCCTGTTAGCTATATGGAATCCCAGGCACCATTCCAGATCTATTTCATCAGAACCTGCATCTAGCAAGAACCCCAGGTGATATTTATGCACATTAAAATGTGGTATCTTGCCAGGCGTGGAGGCTCACACCTGTAATCCCAGCACTTTAGGAGCCCGAGACAAGAGGATAGCCTGAACCCAGGTGTTTAAGTCCAGCCTGGGCAACTTGGCAAGACCTTGTCTCAACAGTAAATCAAAAAATTAGTTGGGCATGGTGACATGCACCCGTGGTTCCAGCTGCTTGGAAGGCCGAGGTGGAAGGATCACCTGAGCCCAGCAGGTGGAGGCTGCGGTGGCCGTGAGCATGCCACTGCACTCCAGCCTGGGCAAGAGCGTGAGACCCCAACTAAAAAAAAAAAAAAAAAAAAAAAAGCAGTATTCTTATACTAGATTGGTAGGGCTGCTGTAACAAAGTGCTATAAACTGGGTGGCTTAGACAACAAAAACTTATTCTCTCTCAATTTTGGACGCTGGACATCTGAATCAGGGTTGGTTGTTTCTGACAGTTGTAAAGGAAGGATCTGTTCCTGACTTCTCTCCATGGCTTGTAGAGGGCTGTCTTTTCCCCATCATTTAACATCATCTTCCCTTTGTGTATGTCTATCTCTGTGTCCAAATTTCACCACTCCCCACCATCTTTTTATATGAGTTGTAGTCTCACCGTACCCGCCCTCCCTTTTTTGTTTTGGAATGTATCTTTGTTTTTATTTTTTCAAGTTGGAGTCTCATTCTGTCACCCAGGCTGGAGTGCAGTGACCCAATCACAGCACAACCTCGACCACCTGAGGTCAGGCAATCCTCCCACCTCATCCTCCCAAGTAGCTGGGACTATAGCTTCCCGAGTAACTGGGACTACAGACACACACCACTATACCTGGCTAAATTTTTTTATTTTTATTTTTGTTAAGATGAGGCCTCATGATGTTGCTCAGGCCAGTCTCAAACTCCTGGGCTCAGACAGTCCTCTCAAAGTGCTTTGATTATAGGTGTAAGCCACTGCACCAGGCCCAAATTTCCCCTTTTTATTAGAACACATCATATCGGATTAGGGCCTACTCTAATGACATCATCTTACTAATTAAATCCACAACAACCCTATTTCCAAATAAGTTTACATCCTGAGGTCCTAGAGATTAAAACTTCATCATATGAATTTAGGGGGATACAACTCAACCCATAACAGTCCTACTTTGTACTATACTATGTTAATTTATGTGATCAGCAGAGAAGAGATCAGTTCATTGAGGACAGCCAAACCCAGGCCTTGACAAATTACTTTTATTCTTAAAAAATCTCATTTCGGTCAAAATACTTTTTTATGGAAATACCACAGCAACATTTAATGATCTACTTTAGAGAAGCCCATACACACTAGGTTCTTTTTTTTTTGAGTTGGCGTCTCACTCTGTCACCGGGCTGGAGTGCAGTGGCATGCTCACGGCTATCGCAGCCTTGACTTGCTGGGTTCAGGCAATCCTTTTACCTTAACCTTCCAAGAAGCTGAAACCACAGGCGTGTGCCACCATACCCGGCTAATTTTTTCATTTATTGTAAAGACAAGGGCTCATCAAGTTGCCCAGACTAGTCTTGAACCTCTGGGCTCAGGCAATCCTCTCTCCTCTGCCTCCCAAGGTGCTGGGATTACAGGCGTGAGCCACCACGCCAGCTCACACTGTGTTCTCTTAAGGGTCTTAAAGAGTTCTCAAATGATGTGGTTTCAGGTTTCCTCCACTATCATCAAACTGAAGGTACTGTTTATTTCTAGTTTTCTCAAAATGATACACCAAGACTGAATATAACATTAGACATGTGATTTAAGTCGCACAAGTCACTCTGGACCATATCACCTCTTTCATTCTTGGTATTAGCCTCCCAATAATTCAGCCTAGCATCATATTTGCTCCCTCCTTCTCTCCCTCCCTCCCTCTCCCTCTCTGTCTCTTTCTCTCTCCCCCCACCCCGTCTCCCCCCGCCTTCCTCTGTGGTAACTCAGTGATCTTACTGTAATGCTAAGCCTTTTAATAATTTTCTCACATGCTTCTCCACAGCCATATTTTCCCCTTAATGTTCTAGACCCATATGCAGGGTGTTGCACGTTACCCCTCCCACCATTCCCATCTGTTCTGGTCTTCCCTTGGTTCTGCCATGTCACATCTTCTCCATTCCTTCAAGCATGTCAGGATCCATTCAGCAGATATACTTTCTATATCTCATCTTGGATAAAAATGTTGACAAGAGTGAGGGCCTCTCCTTCAATGGCGACGTCGATGTACAAATATCCTGAAGGTGCTGTCTGCGATACCTGTAGGATTGCCTGCCCTGCACTCTTTTCCTGGTATTTTACAGGAAATACTTCCCCTTTCACATGATTGCTACAGGAACAATGATATTATATTTTGACCCCACTCTCTGGCCCCAGTTGGTTAACCCAGGAATGAGCATCCCAGCCAAGCTGGGCCAATGAATCTTTTCCTGTAAATTTTTGGTCTAGGGAAAAAGAGAGTTCTACAAGTTTCTCCCTGGGTATTGGACCATAAGGTATGTTGATAGCAACCACATCTCTTGCTCCGTGTAGTTAAAGAAGTGGAAACAAGCCTGGCTGCAGAGGGAGAATAATAATAATGAGCCTCCTATATTAATACTGTATATCAGGCGCTATTCAGAGCATTGTACATTAATTCATTGAATCCTCACAACCCTTTGAGGTAGGTTGATATTACTAATCAAAAGCAGAAATGGAAAGAGTATCCACATGTCATTCAAGCCTTTAGTTCCAATAGTTCTTTGAGGCTCCAGCAGCATTCCTACATCTGGGTTCTATAAAACATTTGGGTTCTATAAAACATTTGCTGGGCTCGGTGGCTCAGCCTGTAATCCCACGCCTTTGGGAGGCTGAGGTGAGTGGATTGCCTGAGTCCGCAGGTTCGAGACCCGCTTGGGCAGCGAGACC